CTCCAGAACTGTGAGAAATACATTTGTATTGTTTATAAGCCATCTAGCAGTCTCTGATACTTTGTTACAGCAGCCAGAGCAAACTAAGACACTAGGGAAGATTTTTTAAATTCCATTTCCACATGGCAGAGTCAGACTGCTTAGGTGGATATACACAAAGCTTTGGCACACACAGATATCGGGAGGAAGATGCTTTTCCTTCCAGTATATCCTTCTATTCTTTGACCTCCTACTCAGCAATATTTACACCTCTTCCCTTTACTAATTTCTGTTTGGCATTTTCAGTCCATTGTCCCAAGAAAGAAACATGTACGTCAAAGCCCCTGAGAACAACAGAAATAACTTAGATTTAAGACAAAAATGTGAGCTAATGTCTCCAAGACCAGAAAAGGATTCTTAGGCTAGGGAAGAAGAGAGGTAGCCAAAAGAGCTTCAGTGTTATCTCCTTCAGTTTGGGGATAAGGTAAAAAGAATCCCTTCCATGTTCTTTTATGCTAGAGTTTCTTGTCCCAGTAGTCAAAGGAATCACTATAAAGGTTTGAGGAATACAGGAAGCAGGGTAAGCTTTAGGCGGTTTGTTATGTAGCAATAGTAACTGATCCAGAGGTATTGGGAAGTTTCTCAGTAAACATAAAAATTAGGGGTTCACCGTGCCCCCCTAAAATTCTCTGTTCTTTAATAATTGTGATTCTTTGCCTCTGGTGTCCATTTATAGCACTAACCAATGTTGTAATTGGTCACAGTTAGTCCCAGCATTTTGCTGCCTGTATTAGTCTGCTTGGGCTGCCAAAACAAAGTACCACAGACTGAATAGCTTAAACAACAGAAATTTATTTTCTCACAATTCTGAGAAGTCTAATATCAAGGTGCCAGTCTATTTGGTTTCTGGTGAGCGCTCTCTTCTTGGCTTGCAGGCAGAGAGCCGCCTGCCTTCTTGGTATGTCTGGCAGGATTGGGAGTAGAAGGGGAGCAAGAGAGTGAGCCAACTGGTGGCAAGACCCAGCTAAATATGTCTAGGTAAGCAAAGATGTTTCCTGTGGCCGAGCATAGCACCAGAGAGGCTGAACGATTCTCATGTACCTGAGAAAAGCCCAGAGATATTCGATAGGGCCAGAGCAAAGAGACCTTGCAAGTGGGAGTAAGGGATGATGCAGGAGTAGCCCGGCCAGCAGCTGAGAATTAGATGGAAAGATGTACATATCAGGGCATGCCAGCACGATTAGAGGACCAAAATGCTCCTTCCACCTTATCCACCTCACCCCAGCATTACTCCAGAAATTTAGATAAAACTCTGGTGAAAGCAGATGGCATAAACCCCACCAGTCTCGGTCAGACACTTCTCTTTTCTGGTCTGATTGGCTTACATGTAGCAATGACTATAGCTGAATGATTTACTTCCTTAAAAACAATAAGAGACTTTGCTCTAACAGATTGAACCTCATTGCTTAGCTCAGACCTATCAAGATTCTTGGTTGCAAAGAGCAGAGATCACTTCAGGTTAACTTAGAAAAAGACACTGCCTCAGGGGCTGTCACCATAGACACTAGTCACCCTGACTGTTAAGTCTCCTGAGTCTCTGAACTGCCCTGATTATAAATCCTAATTGTTTTAGATTATTCCCACATTAGTGGCAACATAGAAGCGGGGAGGGGATAGATATATGTGTATGCCTGTATATGCACAAAATAGATCTGGAAGGAAACACAAGAAACTGGATAATATTGATTTCTCCTGGGGAGAACAGGATGGTAGGAAGACAGGTGTGATGCAGGACAGGGCAAATTTCCCCAAGTGACAGGGAGACCAAACTCTATATTGAGAAAAGAAGAGTGTTCTTTGGCAGAGAGTGTAGAAAGAATTCGACACACACGCCAACGTTAGCGTCAAAATGAGTTTATTGGAAGAGGGGTAACACTCCACAGACAGAGTATGATCTCCTCTCAGAGGTAGAGAGTAAGAAAGACAGTGAGAGGGACAGTGAGAGACAAGAGTAAAGGTACTGAGAGTGAGAGACAAGAGTAAAGGTACTGAGAGGGAACTAGAGAGACAGAGACAATAGAGATGAGGACAGTGAGAGGGATGGTGAGACAATAGAGAAGTGAAAAGTAAGTAAGAGACAGAGGGGGCATGACAGGGACCCAGAGTGTTCAGGGAATTCAGTTTGTATGTCATTCTTTAGTTCCCATTTCCTTTGATATGGACATACAGCGAGGAAGGGGAAGAGTATGTAGCGTGAAAAGGTAAGAATATGTAGAGTGAAAAGCCTGCTGGCAGTTCTTACTATATAAAATTTTTGTACCTTTTGAATTTTGATACATGGGAATAAAATTTTAAAAATTAATAAATCCCATTCACTCCAGTTTAAAACTTAAATCTTATACCTAATTAAAGCTCCTTCCCTGCTCCCAGGTCTGGCATAATCTGCGGCTCCGCAACCTGCAGCTGGGAAGGAGTCAAGCTCTGTTTCCTTCTCCTTCCTTCGCTCCTCCTTCCCTTTACTCCCCTACTCTTGGCTCCTGCAGGGGTGGGATGAGGTTTGGAATAAATCCCTTAGATGGTGTTACTGGTGGTTCTCTCCCGATGGTCCATAAACTCTGGATTTCTGGCTTCTGTGGAATTTTCAGTAGCTCCCCTCTTCCTCCTCTTCCATCTGCACAGTATCCTGACGTGTACTGTGCTCTTGGGCTGATCTCCCTCCGCCCCTCCTACGCCTGAGGGGTCTTCCACGGTCCTCTATGCTAGAGTTGCTTGCCCCAGCAGAAGATCCTCTTAGAGGGAAGCTCAGCTTTCTTTCCTAGTATCCATTTCACCCATGGAACTATTACACACGTTGCCCATCAAATACTGACCTGTCTGCTAAGGAGGGCCAGCCAGCCTCCTGCCTTGAGTTCTCCCGGCAGGAAGCAGACATTAGTTTCTGGGTTACGTCTGCCATCCAAAGCACTCTTTGGCCAGATTTACTAGAGTGCTGAGGTGGGTTCATGAATTTCTGCAGTTCTGCAGAGATTTAGGCTGGGGTTTTATGACAATCTTTTTTGTAAGGGGCCTTCTTCCATCAACTTGTCTGGGAGTGGGAGGAAAGGAGAACATCAAGCTGGCAGCTTATGACTCAGAAGAATTCCCTCGTTCAATGAATTTTCCGGTCTTTCACTTATTTAAGCTGCTAGGCTGTGAGGGTGAAAATCCAGAAATAAGTCTGGCCACCTCTTATCAAAACTGGAGAGAGACAGTTTCTAGACTGCTTTCCTTAGAATGTGCAGGTACTTACGGCCTATTGCCCTCAGCACTGGGGCTTTAGCAAATGTTTTCAGACAAATAGAATGTCCTATTCCACATCTGGTTACTTACATTAGTAAAAACTTCAAAATATCATCCTGCCATGCAAAGCAGAAAGTTATCTTTAATGACAATAACTACCGTTTATTGAAGGCTTACAAGGTACTAAGAACTTTACATATTAATGCATTAACTGTTCACAACACTATTAAGAGTTAGGGAGTTTCATCCTCATCTCAGTGAGAAAACCTGAGACCCAGTGGTCACATAGCTAGTGGCAGAGTTTGAAGTTGAATCCAGGTCTGTTTGACTTAAAAATCAATCTGCACATAAAGATGAGTGGTATAGTTAAGAGTGTACTGCTATAGTCTGTCACCAATGATCTATGAAATTGGGGTGGAGGTGTAGTTTTAAGGGACTGAAATATCCTTAGGTTCTTCAAACATTGTGTGTGAATTCAATAGATAAAAGCATATGCTATTTCTCTTATATATCAATTCAGTTCAACAAATAATAAGTTCTCTCTTTGTTCTAGGTGTTAGGGAGAGATATCAGTGTACAAAAGAAACTAAAATCCCTTTCCTTGTGGAAATAATTCATGAAAATCATGCCAAAATTATACTTTTTTTTTTTGTCATTGTGCATTTTACCAATTAAAGGAAACTAAAAACATAACTATTATCATGTGACATCTCTGGAAAAACTTTGCTATTTAAAACAAATCTTCATACTGGGCCTATTTAGAAAATCATTGATGCTATTTAAATGATCACAAGGACATGATTCATTAGATGAAGGAGGGATTTTGTGTGCAGTCAAGTACAACCTGGGACTAACAATATCTGGGTCATAGAGGACATACTGGGCAATCTCCACTCACACATCACACAGCTCAGTGTAAATTATAATGACTACTTGAAGAAATTAAAATTATAATTTCATTGATGATAATGTTGAGGAATCTCAGGGGCACGATGGAGTCAGGGAGGTGGATTACTTTATCTCTTTTACCTTTTGACTCTGGGACTTTCTGAGGTTCCTTCTTAAGCTCTTACAGAGGAGTGATCGGCGTGTGCAAAGCTGGAGCAGTCACACTTGACATAACTTCAGTCCTCCAGGACCCCAGGGGAAGTGGCAATTACTGCTCATAGCAGGCTGTATGCTAGCTTGTTTTAGCAAAAGATCTATATTCCAATAGAGTAACCATCAGTAAAGTAGCTTTTGGTCTTTGTCGTCCCGTCCTTACCCACCCTGGACTCTAGCTTGAGTTCAGAGGCCAGTTACCTTAAGTGATCCTGGGTCCTCGCAAGGGTTGGCGGTATTACCTTCTCCACATGCCAGATGAGGAAAATGAGGTGCAGATTGGCCAAGGGTCACGGAAACTCCTTGACCTCACTGTTTCCTCACTCCTTTTGACACCTCATCTCCTGGAGTTGACTTCCTTCCCTTCCCGCAGTCTCCACTTAAATGACAAACGACTACAGTTCCCACAATGCCACGCGCCGACCAGCCTCGCGTGGGATTTCCCTAAGCTGCCGTTGTAATTAATGTTGAATCAAACCCACAGTTCCGAGTTATTATTACCTACTTCTCCATCAAGACACCTTTTTTTCCTAATCCATCTGCGGTCCTATTGTTTGCGGAGAAAAATTCATTCAGGCGACTGCTCTAGCCACCTACCTTCTCCCCAGGCCTCGGCCTCTGTAAGGTCCCCGGGGGCCTGGGAGTGTCATTGGTGGATGACCGCCGCCCTTGCTGCTTGCAGCTGCCACTGCGACCATGGCCTCCGGTAGCAGTGGCCTCACGGCCGCCCGTCTCCTGTCGCGCTCCTTCCTCCGTAAGTCCCACGGGACTCTCTCCTCTAGGCTCTGCGACCTTCTGTCCCCGCCGGGCCCAATGTCCTGGTGCAGGCCGCACCCGCGCCCTCCGAGGCAGGACTTTGGCGGGGGCCTGGGAGCCCCGAGACTCCGGCCCCAAGTCGGGGACTCTCGGGGGTGTTGGAAACTTTGCTGATTATGTGAGGCGGAGGCATGACTTAGGCTGGTGGATAGGAACGTAGAATGGCTGTTTCAGGATTCGGGTCTGCGAACCCTGCAGACCCGGGGGCTTGCTGTTGTCCCCGTGGCTATGAGTGGCGGGATGGGGGGAGACATTTAGATTGGTCTTTTGGGGAGTCGTCCAGGAGGAGCTCAGCTGGAAGGGTGAGCGTTTGGGTTCATAGTTAGGAGAAGGATGCCTTTCTAGGAAATTGAGAAGCGAGACTCTCCATTGTACGGAAGGGTCCTACATTTCTGTTTGTCCTTTCTGTAGATTGTAGGCTTAGCAGAGAGGTGAGTTCTGCACCCAGAGTCAGCATAGCCCAAAAGACTTCTAGAAGCTTAGGGTTGGCCGAGACCTTAATCAGCTTATTTGAAGTGTCTTCACCAGGTGATGTGAACCCTCAGTTCCCGAAAACATAATGCCAAGGTTCCTAGTCTTTGAGTAACACTGATTGTTGAAAATTCTTGCGATGTTCAAAGTCTCTGTTTTAAGGTAGGTTGTGTAGGAAGAGACTTTGGAATCAGCCACATCGGAGTTTGAGGTCTGGCTAGCCCCTTACAGCCACTTCTATATCTGTTTCTCAATTTCTGTTTTAAATCCCATGAAAATAGCCATATTTTAATGAATCTAAAACATCATCACTTGTATGATGGACCATTGTTTTGTCTATCATTAACAGTGGAAAATGATTGCTTATTAAACCTGTAACACACCATTGGTTGTCAAATGCATCCTGATTTAAGAAATGTTAAGTGAAAAACCGTGTATCCTAGAAATGATGATGTCTAGGATGATGAGGGTTCATTGTGCAGAATACATGAAACAATTTATATAAAACACCTGGGGAGTAGTAGGCACTAAAGTTTATTTTCTTTTCTTCCTTGTGCTTTGCTCCTAATTCTACTGCTTGTACTAAATATTGGACAAAACAATTCATTTCTTGAGAAGGTTATGTTCTAAAGTGTATAGTGATGGGTGTGTGCTCAATAGCTACACTTAGTTACCAGACTACTTGAGGACAAAGATCTGGCTAGATAATATAAGCAAGTAGGAAACAGTTGAGTTTCTTTGGGAAAGTTTTCTGGAGATTCTTATTGTATAATTTAAAAGACAGTTGAAGGTGTTGTAGGCAAAAGGAAAAATGGAATTAGTTATACCACCCATATCTTTGTTTCCTGGGGTCTTGCTACTCCGAGTTTCTGAAAAATCCTAGCCTCAGATAGTTCGGCTCTCTTAGTAGGAGGAGAGTCTGTAGAAAAAGGAAGAGTGTCTAAAAGATCAGGATCCTTAATCCACCCTTAGTAAGACTTCATAATTCTCTTCTCATATGACTGGAAGTTCTTTTTTCCTATACCCTCAGGACCACAAGGCATTAAGAGATCATCTAGTTTAGCTTCCTGCTGCTGGGGAGGTCTTCAGTTATCCTAGTCATGTGATTAACCTGTTACTAAGAATCTGAGAGATCTGAGATCTAAACCAACTTATCTCTTATATTAGAGGGGTTACAGACTTCTGTGTTTAATGTATAAAAACCTCTAAATCTCCAAATATTCCCTTTCTCATGCCATATTTCTAAACTCATTTTTGTTCCCACTAGAAAAACAGCAGCCACAACAATAGTGCTTTGCAAACTTTTTTTTTTTAAGGTGGTCACAAATTATTTAGGCTCTGAAGTTAGTAATGAAACTAGAAATGCTAGGGAATTTTGTTTCTTCTATTTTCTTAAGTGTCAATTGATGGTACATTTTGTGCTGAAGGTCAAGTGTTGCAATATTGATTTGAGTTAGGAAAAAATTCCTAAACATTTGCAGATGCCTTCTAGAACCCCGTTGGGGGCAGCCTGGAAAGTTTAGAAATTCCTTAGCACATGCCCCACTCTCCCCCAAACCCAGTTTTATAGCTTGTGAAAAAAGGGAGAAAATCCAGTTGAAGTGGGAGAGAAAATAATATGAAAGATAAGGAAGACTTTCCATGAGCAAGTTTAAGGTTTTTATAAACACCTTTGAAGTAGAGATAGTAAAGTTTTTCAAGAAGTATAAAGCAAGGCAAGATCCTTTTAAACATAAGCCCAGGAGTTCCTATAAAATGAATCTTTTAGAATAAGAAGAACCAATATTTTCGAACCTCAGAATTATGGTGTTTAAGCCAGAAAGTGAACCTTACAATCCCATACCTTTGTTTGGCAAATAAGGAAATAAATCTAAAATGTTTCCTACCCACCGTCAGAATGGACACTATAGAATGCAGGTCTTCTGACTCTGTAGTTCTTTCCACTAATACATGTTGTGTGGTACTATGAGCCTTTTTTTTTTTTTGAAGCTCTGATTTTTTTTTTTTTGGCAGTCCCAGTGGTTTATTGAAAAAGTGACTGATTACCCTGCTAAAGGTGTGCCACCTGCCTTTTCCATGTGTTTGCCAAGTTGTGTAGGTCTGATTTTGGAATGGAGAACACATTAAGAAGTGTAGTCGGGAAAAGGGGACGCTCAACAGTGATGTTTCTTATACTAGTATCTATTGCCATTGCAGCCAAGAACCAAGACTTTATTTCAGAAATACAAAATGGCCTTGATCTAAATGTATCAATGTAGCCATGAGAAAGTGATTTGATTTTCTGAACTCAAACTTGTTCTTCCATAGAAACATAATTGGGGATGTTCAAAATAATTTAAGTAAGGGGGACAATTTTATTTCACCAAAGAACAGGTATTTTGTTGCTATAGACCCACATTTTTTTTTTTTACATTATAGCATTTCTAAAATTAAAATCAATGGTGTTTTAGATTTGATGAGATATGATGCTTCCAGTAATTAAGCTTTATTTGTAAGTAAATATTAAATGAGTATATTTTTGCATTTGAATAGTGAATTGTTTTGGGTTTAGGAGTAAGTGGCTGCTAAGCTACTCTGCTATATTTTAAGCTTCTACAGGACAGGTAGGGACCACCATAGCTATATATTACATATACATAATATATATGATTAATAAGTGTACATTTGTTAAATTCATGAGTTACATGCATGAATAAATGAGCAACAAAGACACAGTTTGTGAGGTGAGTTGGAGGAGGAGTATGAGTATTTTCATGAACAGAGTCTCAGATTATTGGTTAGGAGTATGATACTGGTCATACAAGGCCACAGTTAGAGTCACAGCTAGGCAGGTGCATTTGGCGACAGCTTCATTAATCCCACAGCCATTTTATAAATGATGTAGTTGCTCGTTACAGGGAAGAGGATTTAGCATGTGGTTAATACAAATTTGTCATCCTTGTTGCGAGCACATCTCTTGCAGATTATTCAGTCACTTTCCTTACTAGCCTTTGTTACAGTTTGCACTTTTGTAGTTTCATGTTTCTTTGTTTAATGTTTAGCTGTTTTACAGGGCAAGGTGCTTCCTTTGAGTCCATCATGTCCTGCCCTGAATCCCTAGAATCTGGCAGGTAGCCTGGCACAATGAACACCTCAAAGCAGTTTGGCCTTCTCATTCTGCATCAGTAATAATGAAAATAAATAGCTAATAGTGAAATAGCACTCGCTGTACCCTAGGCGTTATTTTACATGCCCTGTATATTATGAACTCATTTAATTCTCATATCACCTGTGAAGTACATAGTATCCCTATTTTTACAGTGCAGCTGCATCTTTAAAAATGTTTTCTATGCTAAAAATTTACACGTGTGTGCATATATGCATTATATATAGAATGGATTAGTATTTTTATACATAAACATATGCATGAAGACATATATAAAATATTCAGGTTGGGCTTATTTTAATATGTGAATTATGCGTGCTCTCTTTTTAGGATATGATTTACCTTTGTGCTCATGTGGGATATGAACCCAGTTTGGGGAGTAGACCAGGCACTTTGCTGCCCAGTTTGAAGGCATCATATCAATGTCAGCATCCTTGTGGGCAGCTGTTATTCCATTTACAGATGGGAAGACTGAGGCTAAGGGTGATCAAAAAGCCTGCCCCAGGTCACATGGCAGGTGAGCAGCTGAGTATAAACTCAAGCTCAAATCAGGTCTGTCTGATTTCTGGCACTGTGTTCTCAGCTACTTCTGGGACTCTGTCCCAAGGTTAGGGGCCAATTTCTAAGAACCTGAAGAGGAGGTGACTCCACCACATTCCCTGGAGATGGCCCAAGGTGTGACAGCTACAGCCTTCACCATGGGGAAAGTCTTCCTGGTGGCCAGCGTCAGGCCTTCCTACTTCCCTGATATTTAGTTAAAAATGTTTGTTTTCTTAAAGTTGGGTATCTCCTTATATATTGATTTGCCATTTGTCTGCCATCAGTTGTGTTTCCTGTTCAGGGCCTTTATTCATTGTTCTGTTAGGCTTTTGGTCTCTTTTTGTTGGTGCTTCATGTCGTTAATTTCTTGGCTGTTAATGTCATGAAAACACTCTCCTTGTCTGTCACTGCCTTAACTCTGCTTGTGGTGTGTTTTGCTCTAAGCTCTTTATTTTCTCTGATAGTGAAATAGTCCATTTGTATTACATTGCTGCTTATGGATTTCATTTTTTTTTTTTTAAAAGGTTAGCATGGAATTTGTACTAGGTTGATGTAGCTTTGAGGACGGCTAGTAGCATTTAGGGCTGGACTTCTGTGCAATCTTTATATGAATTTTAGGGAAACCTTCAGTCTTTGTAGGTACAAAAATAGATGTGTATCCCCCCACCCTTTCCTGATGAGCTTGAGTAGGAGTTTGAGATTAACATTTTCCAAATCACACAAAAAGAGATGGCACTTAGGACATTTTGCTTGGGGGGTGGGGGTGTGTGTGTGTGCGTGTGTGTGTGTGTGTGTGTGTGTGTGTGTGTGTGTTTATAGACCCTGTCTCTTGTCCTGAAATTCAAACATTTTTTTCTGTGCACCTGTTCTGTAAGACACTGTATTATATACCCTGGGAGACACCCTGATGTATAAGATACGGTTCTTACAGTCAGAGATTTACAGTTAGAAGTTCTACAAATATTTAGATGGTACTTGAAATAATCTGGAAATAAATTTAACTTTAAATAGAAATAATTCAGGAAAGAAAGTAGCAATATGTACTCCCATCCACATACAGTCTGTGGCCTAAGTGTTAGATACCATATAAAAGTATTTTCAGGTTCCATTCTTCTTAGTCTCAGATCCCCTATAAAACTCCCATTATATTCACAAGTTGTGAATGTCATGTGTAAATTTAAGGATTCTTTCCTGTACAATGTTTATTTAAACATGAACTTATGTGAATTAATGCAAGTGAAATTCTCAGGAAATTGAGAACATTAACTCTCTGGTTGAAAGGTGGGAGATATTTGCAAGATGGTTTGGCCACTAATGTATGCCCTATATTCTAGATTTAACTGTAGCAAATAGCTTACTCTGGTTGTTTGGTGGTTTTGTCATAGAACTTAGGTTTGTATTTAAAACCAAAATGTGATTGAGCCTCTTTAACTTTAAGACAGACAATTGAAGATTTATGCTGTAAACCACATCACATTCTTCAGCAGAAGTAGAATAGGCTATTTTTCATAACT